GTAAAGTCTAAGAAGGAAAGTATTAATATTTATTTATTTATTTGAGTACAGTTAGTGGTATATATCAAGAGAGGCAATTGCTGATTAGGAATGGAAGTGGAGACTAAATAGTTGAGTTTTTAGTCGTTTCTTGAAAACAGCGAGTGACTCTGCCGTTCTGATGCAGTTAGGGAGTTCATTCCACCAACTGGGCAGATTGAACGTGAGCGTTCGGGAAAGTGATTTCTTCCCTCTTTGGGATGGAACCACGAGGCGATGTTCATTCACAGAACGTAAGTTTCTGGAGGGCACATAGATCTGCAGAAGTGAGAGCAGATAAGAAGGGGCGCAGCCAGAAATCGCTTTGTAAGCAAACATCAGAGCTTTGAATTTGATGCGAGCAGCAACTGGCAGCCAGTGCAAACGGATAAGTAGCGGAGTGACATGTACTCTTTAAGGTTCATTAAAGACCACTCGTGCTGCTGCGTTCTGGAGCAGCTGAAGAGGCTTGATAGAGTTAGCTGGAAGCCTCGCTAGCAGAGTGTTGCAGTAGTCCAGTTTGGAGAGAACAAGAGCTTGAACAAGGAGTTGAGCTGCATGTTCAGATAAGAAGGGTTGGATCTTTCTGATGTTATAGAGTGCAAATCTGCACGATCGAGCAGTTCTAGAAATGTGGTCAGAGAAGTTTATCTTGGAAAAAAGTGGTAAAATATGTACCTGTTGAATAAACAGTGTCCACTACCAACAAACAACAGACTTTTTGCCTGCAAATATGCTAAAAATATATATTTTAATATGTTTCCTACCCTTAATTACACCAATCAACAATCTGTCTAAAAATGTCTAAAGTTACCACTAATACAATTAAAAAATAGTTACTACTAACAATAAAGTAAATCAAATGTAAACTATGAGTGTAAAGTTACACCATTTTCGTGTCAACATCGGTTTCAATGGTGCCAGCAGTGAAAATCTGGGGCTGTGGACAATGTGGAACATGTATTGTTCTTTGATGGGTCCGTCCTCACTATCTTTCCCACATCCAGTAGAGTTACAGTGTGGAGAAGCCCCAAAGACACATACCAAATTTCCAAATTGTCACAGTGCAACATTTAGGTCAACGTGGACATAACATGATCATAACAACTGTTATATTTTACATGCAAAACTGCCCTTCATGTTGCAATCTGATTGTTAACAAATTAATAATACAACTTACATTACGTTTAATCATAAATCATTCAAGTAAATTCTTTAAATAAGATATTCATACTTTAAAAGGTCAGAATAAAAATGAATAAATTTAAAACACAGCCCAGCTCATCGTTAATAACTCACTAAAATCCTGATTTTCTAATATTATAACGTAAAATAAGCCAAATCAAAACAGCAAAAGGATTCAGCTATAAATATATTCATATAGGGAGGTCTTCAAGATCTCACCTCTACTAGGACTGTGTTTCCTGGTGCATGAGAACAAGGAGAGCATGTTTTCGGTGTCTCTGCGGTCGTGTCCACTCTCTGCATTATTTACACCACTTGCTTTAAAACTAGACAGTATGACACACAGATGGAAAAACCGAGCACATACCAACACACACTCAATGTTAACATGCTAGGAAAACATCCTCTTTGTTCTTCATGTCTGAGCAAGCAGCCCAGGTTAACCACATGTTGCAGGTTTTGTTAAAGACCTCTTGGCTGTGTCTTGTCCGAGCCTGTCTGCACTATAAAGAAACCATTCCAGCTTTAAAACACAGTATAGAAACCATTAAAGACATTAAAGACCAGAAAACTACGCACATACTGTAAGCATGACATCTTCGCTTGCACTAGACTAACACCCATTCTTTTTAGCAATTCCTATACATATGGTTTAAAAAAAAAAAAGCAAAGTTCACAAACAAAAGTCTTGTCGTCGATCCCAGTTGTAAGAGAAAAATAATAACTTGACATCTAGTTGATCATTTGGAAAAATGGCAGATTTTTTTGATGAATCATCTGCTGAACTGTATCGCAATCATCACAAATAGTGAAGAACCTATTGGAAGCTGCACGGACCCAAGATTCTCACAGAAATCAGTCAAGTTTGGAGAAAGAAAAATCATGGTTTGAGGTTACATTCAGTATGGGGGTGTGAGAGATCTGCAGAGTGGATGGCAACATCAACAGAACATCAACAATGTGCTGCCCATTACATTTACAAACCACAGGAGAGGACAAATTCTTCAGCAGGATAGCGCTTCTTCTCATACTTCAGCCTCCACAAAGTCCCTGAACGCAAAGAAGGTTAAGATGCTTCAGAACTGGCCAGCCCAGTCACCAGATATAAACATTATTAAGGATGTTTGGGGTAAGATAAAAGAAGAGGCATTGAAAATGAATCCAAAGTATCATGATGAACTCTGGGAGTCCTGCAAGAATGCTTTCTTTGCCATTCCAGATGACTTCATTAATAAATAAAGTCTGCCTTTCTGCCATTCTATGCCTTTCATATAAGCCATTTTTTGATACCAAATGATTAACTAGAAGTCAAGTTATTATTTGCTGTTCCTAAAACTTGGAAAGGTGACAAGACTTTTTTCAGGTTGTGTACAATAAATGCTCCAGAACAACAGCTATGAATGTAGAAGTCTGAAAATCACATTACAGATTATCAGACACAAGCAAGAGAAGTTCGTTCACGGTCCGTGTAGCTTTGTCAAAAGTGTTCCTAAAGTAAAAGCAAAACATAAAAGGAATAGTTGACCTAAAAAAATTATAACTCTATTATCGTTTGCTCACCTTCATGTTGTTCCAAATCTGTATGACCTACTTTACTTACACAAAAGAAGATATTCTGACAACAAAAAAAAGGAATCTGTGTTTTGTGGCTTTACAATGGATGTCTGTGTTGGTCTGAGACCGACTGACTTTCATTATATGGGGAAAAAAACATTTGAAACACTTGTGTTTTACAGAATTGAAGTCATTGAATCATACATGATTGAAATTACTGATTTTACATTATTTTGAAGTTAAAAATGGCAGAATTTTTTCCATATTTTGTGATTCACAAGAGTTTTCTGTTTATTTGCATTGTTTCAAATTGCATTATGAGATGATGATCTCTGCTTTGACCACTTTTGATGTTGAAAATTCAACTCTACAGTTAAACAAAGTGACTTTTATTGACATTTTAAGTTGAAATAATATAATGTATAAAAAGTAACACAGAGAAAGAGTCTGTTAAATAACAGAAAATGTACTGGTAGTTTATTACAAGAGTTTTGTAGCTAGGCATGGGCCGATATAAAAGTCTGATGGTAAAATAACCTTGGATATAAATATCACAGTGTTGGGATTACTGCTCTAAATTATTTTCTTTTTAAATGTCTGGGAAAAAAACAAAACATTTTGCCCTTTGTACAAAATATATTTTAATTTAAGAAACATTTATAATATTGCAGAGCAGTAAACATGTCAGTTTAAATACTTCAAGTGAATCATTAACTTCTGTTGCCTTCATTTGTTTCAAAAACACTGATTTATTTACAATTTAAAACGCCATCTTTGGATATCTTTTCTGCTGGAGAAAATGCTGTCCGAAAAAACAAAACAAAAAAATCTTACTCATACCTTAGGAACGGTATAGCAGATAATTTAGACGGCTTTAAAACCTTGACCTTTCCAAACTCCGGTATATCTTGAACACAGTTATCATCCCATGCTTAATTTTAGCATAATATACAACACCAACCCAGACACAAAGGCACTTTAAAATGTTAAAAATCTTAATAAATGTCACTTTTTTGAACTTTTTAAGTTTAAAATTTAATGGAAGAAAGATCAAGGTCCCATAATGCCTAAGTAATTGAGGAAAAATAAAAACATAAATCACAAAATATGGAAAACTGCTAATTTACGAATATGTTTTGCAGTGTACAACTAAAAAATAAATAAATAAATAAATTCTAAATACTGAACAGTAATAAAACTGTAATATTGTAACTACCTTCATCAGCTGGTGAACATTAAAACACAGACATCCAATAAGAATCCATCCTTCTTTAAAGAGTTTGAGCATTTAAGCAGCAGAACTGCAGCACATGCTTATAATGAACAATGTTCTCATGCGCTGTTGATGCTAATAGGCCACATACACACGCTGCTGCCAAGTTCAGTTTGTTAGGTCACCTTTTAGTGCTTAATCCTATTCTGTGTACACACAGTTCAGTAATTTATGGAAGTGAAAAACACATTTAGCAATCCAATTATCTCCTGAAAAATGACAAATTCTTTCACAAAAATCCAACGCAGTATGAATTGTTAGTGACTAAGTTGAAGAGATATCAATGTGTCTTTACATTTTAAAAATAAATAAAAGAAAGGATGTTTGATACTTTGCATGGTGTCCGAGGTTCACATAATCTTGGATCCGGACCATAAAAGCCTAAAAATGATGTCTCCGAGTGCATGGAGGGCCAAAATGTAGTAAAAAAAGGTGTCTCTAAATGAAAATATAATAGTGTGTACATGACCTGAGCTTTAACTAATTTGTGTTGCCAGATCTTCCTAGAAAAAAAGCTTAATAAAAACAAATGCCGAACTCTTGTCTGGGAAATGAGCCATATCAAAATATAAGTGCATCTGCCTGCTTTATTGATTCCATGAATCGCTTGTTTCAATTATAATAAGTGGACATGGCAACATTTCAAGTGCGCGATGTGCAAAGCGGCCATCAAAACAAACAAGACAAGATGCCTCTGTTGAAGGTGATTTAGCTCAAATGAACCACTGACCATAACAAAGCTGTGAGCGCTGTAATTGGGGATGAACTGATCAAGTTTTTATTTTTATTTATTTTAACCACCAATCTGAACAGGGTGGGTTTTTATTACTCTTTTATTTCTGCATTTCAATAACCTTAATGTGTCTTAAAAATCAGTACAATTTGCAGACAGCAACATAGCCCTAAAATACATTAGGAAAATAAGTCCTTCATTGTTCTTCTAATTAACTGGTAACACTACTTTAGGTCACAATTCACTCTACACAGCAAAATTTCCAGTGTTGTTTGGAGTTGTTTTTACAGTGTAAATTTTTTTGAGTTAAAAAGTGTTATTTGTGGTGTTAATTTACGTGACATAAACACCTGCAGTGTACCCTTGTGGTCAGAGTAAGGGTTAATACTGCGAGTTAACATAGTTAACACTATAAACAAGTTGTTTCCATTTCCGGTCGCTTCACCTTACTTCCTCTTTGATTAATGGCGGATGGCACATGGAGAACATTCAAACAGGTAACTGTCATATTACTTATTTAACCACAAATATTCAATACATTTTTACATGCTTTATGTTTCTCAATGTTAAATTAATATTTGTAAATATTCTAACCGAGATTTCAAGTTCTAACCACTTGTCAATTTATACACGACAGACATCTGGAGCCACGAGACAAGCTGCTTTAGCGGGAAAACAAAGGTAACTTTAAACATTTTACAGTTAACAGTTTTAAGGAGTTCCTATATTTGAATCGGGTTCAGTTCGAGCCTATTATGAGAAATAGGCAGTAATGACTCATGCAACCGTTTGAATTGTTTAAACTGTTTATTTGTTTTAAATATCTGCAAAGCAGCAGCTGTCAGTACTTAACGTTAGCTGAACCGTAACCTAGCTTTGTGTGTAATCTAACGTTATCTATAATGTTCACTGTTCAGTGCGATTGATTTGTGGCGCGAGCAGCGAGGAGTCGCGGGCTGCCTGTTCACGCTTTCATCCGTGCTTTTAAACGGTGAATAACGTTATACGATTCAAGTGTACAGGTACAGACCTGCAGACCATAATACGTTAAAAACAGACGCAAAATACATTCGCTGTAAAAGTTAGCCGTGCTTGTTGACATGAAGGGATAACGTTAGCCAGTTAAGAAATGATTCTTCTTTAAACGGTTCTTTTCAGTGAATCAATCGAACCAGTTCACTACATTGAACTGAATCATTTGAAATTGTTCGCTTCTCCGGTAAGCACCAATCCTTAAAATGGCTTACTTTATAACCTGTCTGACACTCAGTTCCACTCAAAAATACCGTATGTTGAGCTTCGACTTATTCAGTAACTGTAACAGACGGAACTGCTGTGAAAAGAACTGATGATGAGCGCGAATCGAGTAACGTGTTCCCTATGACAACGACCGAAAAATGCTAAGCTCAGAAGAGACGAACCCAAGCAGACTGTTATTGCCATTGTTTACCTAGCAAATTTCATTGTTGACTCTAAGGTAGTAGTCGAATAGTAACTTTATTTATTTAATATTGAAGTGCTGTTCAATTGCATTGCATGAAGAGCTGGCTTAGATAGAACTGTACGTACTCTTAACTTTTGAAGATCTTTCATTAATGTGTAATGTGAAAAAAAAAGTTTTTTTAATCTGTAATGTGCATTTATACAAGTATAATTTTCCTATAGCCTACGTCTTGCTAACAATACTAGTTAGAAATTGGTATGTAGAATCCTTCATAATAAAAAAACAAAAAGAACGTAAATATAGTTATTTTTAGAAAAAGAAAAACATAATGTGCTTTTTTATTTATATGTGCTATTCATAATAACATCGGCTTCTGTATCACCTTAACATGAAAATGAATAAATTAACTTGATTTAATTTTACTATGTCAAGTTTGTGATAGATTCTTGTTAATAATAAAGTGATATATTGTGTATTTTTCAACAGCTTCCATCATGTTGGTGAAAGTTCTATATTAAGGAGTGAAAAAATATGTAAAATTGCTTACTGATTTTACATTTCAATGTTTTCGGAGTGAAGATAAGTTAAGATTGTGCTGGTCAGAGTTGTGCTCACTAAAGTCATAACCATTTCCTGAGTCTGTTTTTTTTTTTTTTTTTCAGTGAAAAGCAAATTTGGATTATCAACAACTGCAGATCCTCAAGTTTTCAATAAAACGGACCCTAATGTAGAAGAGGAGATCTTCCACGAGTTAATGGACAGCAGTCTACATTTATGCTTGACTGTTAGATGTTTGGAAGAAAATATTTCTGCTGGCCTGCCTGAGGGTAATTATTCAATAAATATTTGGACAGTTTTAAAATGCCTCTGTTTTACAGTAGTACAAGTCAAAACAGTTAGAATTAAGTAAAAAGAAGAAATTCATAGAAGAGCTTACTGAACAGAGGAGTGTGTATAGAAATAAAGAGTTTTTATATGTTTCTTGACCATTGCCAGGTGTTTGTTTAGCTTAAGTTCATGTGATGCCCAGTGATGAAAGGTTGATCAAAATAGTCTGTCAAAACCAGTGTAGAAAAACATTGAGGATGATGGTGTATAGTAAAAGCTATTAGTACAGCATTGTTTTAAATTAAGTTGAAATATAAGATAAATTTATTGTAAACTAAAGAAAATATTATGTAAAGGTTAATAATAATGTTTTCCATTTCTCCATCAGTGATTTCACCCACAAGATCATCAACAGCCAGCACATGTACTGATACAGTTTCACTCTCTTCAATGGATCATGAAGACCCAGAGCGAAATATGCAGAATCAATTGACAAGGACTAACAGCTGCTTGATAGTAGATGGTAAAGGGCAAAACAGGTATATGCATATGTTGTTTGTTATGGTTAATTCAATCATATACTAATTCAGTTTTATTATTTTACAAGTATAACCATTTTTCTGGTCACTTTATCAGATTGTTCAAGATGCATTGGGAAAGCAATCTGGTGGTGATGAAGTACTTGACGAATACAAGGTCACAAAAACTTAAGGGCCACAGCACTAGATGGCAGCTGGTTAATATTGTCGTCAGTCACATGAAAGAGATTCATGGGTAAGATTTCATTAAATATATGCAAGAAAAGCATGGATTTTTTTTTTTAAACCAAAAAAAAAACAAATAAAATGTAAAAAGTTAAGTACTGTCCTTAATCAAATATTTTACTGATTGTTAGGAGAATCCCCACGTGCAAGCAACGGGAGACTTATGCTTTGGGCATTATTTCTCTTTTTCCCAGCCTGAGAGACCCGTTTTCCGCAAAAGGCTATGTAAGAAATTGTCTTATTGTACTTAACACAAACTTGTTCATCCGTTTTAATTATTTAACGCAGAGGTGCCCAAACCTTGGTCCTGGAGAGCCAGTTTTCTGCAGAGTTTAGCTCCAACTGTAATTAAACACAAGCTCTTAACTAGCAAACTAGAAACTTTCAGGCAGTTGTGTTGAAGCAAGTTGGAGCTAAACTCTGCAAGACACTGGCCCTCCAGGAATGAGTTTCGACACCCCTGGTTTAAAGGTTTGTGTTTTTTATTTTTATTTGTATCATACAGTCAGTCTTTTTAATGTAACTGGCATTTTTTAAATATTTCTATCTATATTACAGGAACATTTTTACGATCCAGAAAAGGGAACCGTTTGTAATTAATCTAATATGCTTCTTTCTTAGATTATTCAAGACTTTAGTCTCCTGTTCAATGCTGAAACATCCAACAAGTTGCTTGAGAGGTGGGAGACCGCATTTAAGCACAGGATCATCAATGAGGCGAAATCTCTGACTTCAACTGCCAGACTTCATTGTCTTATTAATTCAGCAGAAGGACAAGAATCTGAAAATAGTACGATTTCTAAGGATTTTGTAGTTTGAAATTTGCTTTGGTTTCTTTTGTATTTGTGAGCTATAAGTGTGAATGTGGGCTTGCTTCATTTTAATATTAATACGTATAACTTTATCATCATTCATTCAGACTGGGATAATGATGTCATCTGTCCTACTCCTTCTGCATCTCCTACCTCCTTCAGAGAGAAAGAAGACTTAAGATCAGTTCAACAGAGGCCTTTGAAAGACTTGTGCATTTCCATAAGGTAAAACTCACAATATTTTCAAAAGTCTTTTCATTGTTATTATTAAGGTTGTTAAGACCATTATGCGATGCTGTAAAATGTACCTTTTGAAACTTTTTTTTAAAAGCCAATACATTCAGTTGAATGCTGTTGAAGAATGTATGTTACATCTTGGATGAAATGAGGGTTTATCAAAAAATATATAAACATATTTTTGTGGTAATTCTTTTCCCTGTCACACTACACAATGAATGACATGAACACATTTTATTTTTGCACTTTGGGTAAAGGTGGTTTTGTTTTATTTTTTGTGTTGTTTTCATTAACAAAATTGTAAGTTTCCTAATTGGTTTCCTGCATTTAATGACATATTTTTGGCTGTTTTTTTGCAGTCTTGCACCAGCATTGAAGACCATCTCAGTGAGAGGAAGGGCCACCAGCCATGTCGCCTAAGATCAGGAAGGATCAAGGGGAGGATTGACCATTTCTATGTGGTTATGGACAAACATCTCATCTCTTGTGCAGCAACCAGGTCCTTGAGTGCTGTTGATGAACTCTTTAAAGACTATGTGTTCAACTTGACGTACGAGGAAGCCCTTGTCTACATCTTTACCTTTCTGCAGACTACAGTCTACAACATCGATGTTGGACCTACCAGTGAGTCACCCAGGGTAAAGAAACTGCGTGCAAAGCTTTTACACTAAATGTTTCTTTTACAATAATGTGTTGGTGTTGTCAAAGCTTGCAAGCAAACAGCACCTCTTTAAGACTCTCACAGTTTTTGATACTGAAAATGCTGTACATTTTATGTTGGTTTAACTGTGCGTTTAAGATGCATTGTTAAAAATAAAAGTTTAAACTGGTAAACTGTTCTGATTTTTTTTTTAACTGATCAATGCAAACTGTCCTGTAATGCAGTAAACAATCTATATAACTAAAAATACATTTAAATATCAACCTAGGTATGTATGAGCACTATATTATTAGTGTTAAGATGAACACTCTTAGTGTTAAGCTATTAACACTGCGAGTGTAGTTTTAACATATTTATTTTATGCAAATAGGGAAAGTGAGTGGAAAACAGAGAGTTAAAGTCAACACTAGCAGTGCTTTTTTTTAACACTATGCAAGTGTAAAATAATTTACTCTTTTTCAAGTGTAAATTTAACTCGATTTAGTGTGGACCTATATAAACACTAAAGAAGTGTTAATTTTCACACTTTGAGAGTGAAATTAACACTTCAAAATTTGCTGTGTATTATCTACCGGTTTATTACCGGCCTTTTATTAAGAAATGAATGTTTATTAGTAGTTGTTAAATATGATCTCATTCTGCATCCCTAATCCTATTTAAAATTTAAACCCAACATCTACCTTACTAACTACTAATAAATAGCTAATTAGTAGTTTATTAAGCTAGTGGTGTTAGTTTAGGGTTTGGTAATACTGTGAATTGGGATTTCAGTACACACTAGCATTGTGGACTAAACCTAAACAATGCTCCAGTTAAACTTTACCAAACCCAAACACAATACTTTGATCATAAAATGAAACTCATAATCCATAATCATTGTAAAATATGTAGCAAACACCTTTTCAATGGTAACAAACAAGAATATACACACATTAATTGCATTATTATTACTCTACCCAAAATGTGCATTTGCTTGGATATCATGATGTTCACAGATCTTCATGAATGAACATCATGACTTTATTCTGAAATCCTCCTTATACTTTAAATTGCTGAGATCGACCAATGCAAATCTCTGGTCTGCATCCTCAGTACTCTGTCTTTAGTGAAAATACCTAGATGCCAGAACTTTAGAAATAGAATAGTGTTTAGGGAATTGATTGATGCATTCAAATGCTATTGTTAATCCTGAAACTTCATTTTGGTAACTGTATGGCTCGTTTGGACCCTAAGCTGGTGCTGAAAATAATCAGATATCAGCTACTGTAAACAGTGGTAAATTCCCCCCAAAAGTGGGTTCAATCAAACTATACCATGCAGTGTAAAACATTACAAGTTCAACAGGTTTTGTAGCGCTCACATGTAATATTACTAATATTAGATGTATTATTTTTATTAATGCATTTTAGGACCCAGATGTAAAATAATTTTTCTTTCTTTTTTTTTGATTTCTCAGTGTTAATTGGCTGATGGCCATGTTTTTTTTTCATGTCATGCTACTTTAGAGAAACTGAATGGCAAATTTCAAGTTGATTGGACAAACGGTAGCTTAGATACAGCGTTTTTCACTCTATATTCATTTATGATTATCATGGCTGGCACAAAAACACATCCACAATGGACAATGTTAACACAGAAAAAAATAAACTGAAATCTATTATTTTAACAATAGTCATTAATCATGCCTATACACATTTTGTGTCGCACGTAGATATTTGAACCAAATAATAGGCAACAAATGTTAACAAAACCTTATGTTGAAATTTATATACATAATAATTAGCTTTCAGTGTAATAATTATCATTTTAAAGTGGAAAAAAATAACTTAATAATAACTTGGTAAGATTAGACAAAGTTAGATTTTTTATTTTTTTTTATTAGGTTCATCTTAGTTTTATGTCAGACATTAAAATATACATAATATTGATACATATAGATATACGCATTGATACAATTCATATTTATAAATAAAAGGTAAAATACTACATTTATACACAAAGATATACAAACATGTCAAATAATTTCTTATCAGAAACACAAAACTAGATGTAAAAACTGTTAAGAGGGCGACGTGGTGGCGCAGTAGGTAGTGCTGTCACCTCACAGCAAGAAGGTCGCTGGTTCGAGCCTCGGCTCAATCAGTTCTGTGTGGAGTTTGCATGTTCTCCCTGTGTTCGCGTGTGTTTCCTCTGGGTGCTCCGGTTTCCCTCACAGTCCAAAGAGATGTGGTACAGGTGAATTGGGTAGGCTAAATTATCCGTAGTGTAAGTGTGTGAATGAGAGTGTATGGATGTTTCACAGAAATGGGTTGCAGCTGGAAGGGCATCAGCTGCGTAAAACATATGCTGGATAAGTTGGCGGTTCATTCCGCTGTGGCGACCCCAGAGCAATAAAGAGACTAAGCCGAAAAGAAAATGAATGAATGAATGAACTCTTAAGTGTCTTACTAGTATTACAATCTCAATTCTATAAAAAAAAAAGTATACAAACATTTGTTTGACATTTATAATGAAAAACTAAAATCTAGAGGCAACTAATATGACTTAATATAATCGCTAATGACACCGGCATGACCTCTACCAAAATATAGTCACACCAACAGGAAAGAAGGTAGCAAAATCAGACCATTCATAGTCCTTCAATGAGAACAAAACACAGATTTTTACCACACAGAACAACAAATCACCTCTATTTTTACACACAAACAACTTAACAATGATGACTAAAAGGACACACTAGCAGCTCACACATTTGAGTGTCATATGGCCAGTGGAACTGTGTGGAATACTGTGGTCTGGCTCCAGCTATACGAACAAATGTGAACAGGGCCATATTAATTATAACACCATAACAACTGCTAACAAAAAGGCCAGCTGTATGTTTGTGTGTGTGTTAGACTGTGTGCATGTGTGCGTGTGTTCAGGACAGCCGACAGAAGAATTCATGCCCTGAACATTTGGACTTACAGATACAGTACATCAGTGTGAAAAGATAAGCATCAACATCAAAAACACACACACAAAATCCCCTACACCAACAACAAATGGGCAACAAGTGGGTCAAATTCCCCGCATTCCACCGCCCATCCCTTTAACGGTTTAATTGAATGTATATCAGATCATTGTGGTCCGAAGTGAACGAAAATAAAGCGAGACCACAAAGGAGTCTTTAAAAGCGCTCAGCCTTTATATGGACACACTGGTTTGTATAAATGCAGTGCGCTACTGATTATGGGGTATGATTTTTACGAGCTTCTATTTTCTCTCTCTCCGTCAGTGATAATATTGAAGAGGAAAAGGTTTCTGGACAGCGAAAGCACCACAGATGACCACAACAGACAACACACTTGACTTCTATAGATAGATGATTACTAAATAATCATAGTGAGTGAAAGTTTCACATGCAGTGAAACAGGTCAGTGAGAAGACGGATGCAAATATGATTTTTTAAAATATATACATGTATAATGATATTGTTATGCCTACTGTATATGTACATTATGATCAAAAAGCTATTTAATGTTTACATCCACTGCAGTGTCTTTTTGTAGGTCGGATTTGTCTTGTATGTAGCTATTTTCTCACAGATTATTGTTGCAGGATGTCAGTCTATAAAAAGTATAATAAAAATATTTTTAAAAAGCTATTTAAATATTGATATTTTTATCATTATATCCAATAAATGGATGGAAAGTGACAGTGAAATTGTTAAAAACATGTTAGGAAAAGGTCTTCTCTTATATATTAGGCGCAACCATTTGGGCATTTATAAATGTTGTTTGTGCAGCAAATATTAAAATTCTGAAACAGAAATGCAATAAATATGATGTTTAATCATTTGAATCAATCTCTCTGATTCATAGTGTTCTACTGTATTTTTGATTAAATAAATGCATCATTTGCTAACATAAGAGATTAAAACAAAACAAACAACCCTAAATTTCAAATGGTAGTACAATCCTTCCTGGAACACGCAAATTACTTCTGTTTAAATTATGAAAATTTTAGGGGTCGTTTGCCAGCTGTGCAATTTAATCGAAATCGAATCGCGATTTCAAACATAGCTAAATCGCAAGTGGCTCCAACATGAAATTTGTTTGTATTATTTAATTTCCCCTGCCCAGAGCAAATGTGTGACTGCTGTCTCTGTGTGATAATTTTACTAGCCAATTAAGGGGGAACAATTGAGTGATGAATGTCTTGCTAAAAAGTCTAATGTAAGTATTGCCAGTGGCACTCAATCTATTAGCAAGCAACAACAAAGTACACTTTCAGAGGTGTTTCAGCCATGTTAGTTTGCTGAGGCCCAATCCCAATTCTACCCCTTAGCCCTTCCCCTTACCGTGAAGGAGTAGGGGTGTCCTAATTCTCTTTCGCTTAAAGGGGTAGGGATAAGGGGAAGGGGTGAATAGCCCTTCGAATGAAGATTTTTCAGGACCACACTCGAAACAAAGGGGTAAGAAATAGTTACACCTATGTAAGGCAGGAAAGTTACACCCGGAAGTAAGGAGATCCACAAATTAGTATTTTTTTGTCATTATTTACAAATTTTTAAAAGCCAAAAATAGCTTTTTAGTCAATTTCACCGATCAATGTGGACAAGTTGTTGTTTTTTAACAAAATACAGTAGTCAACATTTGAAGCTGTCCTAAAGGTATTGAACAACACCCATTCATGTTCTAGGACAATTTTGAAAAACTTCACTTTGAATTTTTACTGCTGTACTGTGCGCAAAAAAGGAAAACCTTACCATTTTTAGTACATCATCATCATGTAAATGCACCTTTAGAGAGCAATTTGTCGCCAGGCAAATTATTCTATTATAAAAAATATAAAAAAAAAAAACATTGAAAAAGGACCTGTGCCATCTATAAGTACCCCGGGTGGGCTGTTTAGATTGAGCCATAGCAAACCACCCAGAACACCTTAGCAACAGCACAGCAACAATGCTAAAAAACCTCTCTCCTTAGCAACCGCATAGGAATGCCTTGGCATCCATCCAAAACAGCCTGGCATCGTGATCAGCAAACACCATTCAAATCGATGCAAATCTCCAGTTTAAAAATCCACAAAAGAAACCAGAGATTTCTTAAATATAAAGACAGTCACACCTAAGATACTATTAAACGGACAATTCAAAATAAAAAAGGTCATGAACACACCTTCCACTCAT